AGCATTCCATCCGGCTCGCGGCTGCTCGAGCAACGTGTACGCGCGAGAGGGATCCGTTCCGCGTCGCTTCTATTAGTTCAGTCATCGACAGTGCAAACACTCTTTTGTGGTGCGCGCGTTGTTCGAGTCCGGGATGCACTCGAGACTGCGTTGATGCGGCCTCCCCGCGATTTCCAAGCCCCGGCGCGGCTTAGCGCGGGTAAAATAAGGTCTGGGCGTCGCGAAGAGGAGCCAGGAACGCGGCAGGAGAGGATAGGGCAAGGAGGAGAAGAGTGGTTGGTACCCGGGCTCGTGACAATGTCAATGTTTGCGTCGTTGCACCGAAGCACTCTCAGAACAGGCCAGGAGACTGAGTGTCTTCAGGTTGTACAGGAAGAATGGATTCGTGTCGAGGGTACGCAGAACTAGTCGCTCTTTGCGAGGACTACCTCAATGAACCTCCATTAATTTCCAAGCTTCCCCCGTGGACGCTTTCTCCTCGCGTCCCTCGCTCTCTCTTTCTCTCGGTTCCCTTCTTCCCAAGGAAACCGTCAATCGTCTCTAGTATACGCTCCTCGCGTCCCTGTCTATCCGTTTGTTAACCGATCGATCAATGGGCCACATCTATTCGGGTTGTTTGTCCTGATTCGAAAAAGATGTCGCACCCCTATGATTTTAGTGGTCGAAATCTGAGAATTTGTAGATACTTAAAATTGGAATTCTCCGAATTGATGTCACTTAATGGAAGGAATATTTGAAGTGTAAAATGGATGAACTTCTGAGAATGGAAAATTTTCTTAGGAAGGGGAAATGCGATTCTAGGCGTAGTGTCAACGGACCTACGCTCAAAAAATAGAAAAGAGGTATCTATATGTTTATCTAAAAACAGGATTGGGTTATACAGTCCTGGAGGACGAAGGATTAAAACCACGAAAACGCACAATGGTCGGGGCTATCGGTTGACCCTAGGCGTGAACTTCTCACGCTCGCCTTCCATCTCGTGTTCGAGGTGAGTAGGGGTATGTCCGTCGGAGATTTCAGTGCATAAATTAAGGGAAGCGCGCGCGTGCTTACACGGTCCGTGGTTTCCGCGAAGCGTACAGCCCCGAAGGGATTACACTTTGACACGACGGGATACTTGTTCGGCATGTAACAGGTCCTCGCGGAGGTGGCGTCGGCCATCAGCTGTGGTCCCTTCAGGTGTTCCGGTACTTATCCTCGTCGCGTCGGGACTCTCGACCCTCGCGTGGGCGTACTTTACGGCCGATCGAGGGATGTGAGATCTGATTTGCGAGCGCCATTTACACGCGCCTCCCGATCGCCTGTATCTTACCGCCGCAACCGTTGCATTTATGAATGCGATTACTCCGTTAATATATCGGGTTGGACTCGCAAGGGCTACCTTCTTTTTAATTCCTTTGATTTTTCTTTGATGTTTATCATTTTTGTTTGGATGAGTTGAGGAACAGAGCTATAGATCCTTATAAAAATTATATGCAGTTAATAACAAGATATGAAGCACAATAAAATAACTAAAACTTGATCAGTCCAATAAACCTGTGGAATTGTAAATTTATAATTTTAGAGTTCATTAAACTGCAACTCGAAATCAATTAAAATGCACAGTAATTAACGAGTTAATCAACCTCGGATCTCGCTTCCGTGGTTCCAGTCAACGTCGAACCGCGCGTGTTCGCGCCTCTGTTATTCGCACGCTTCCTCGAAGGAGGAAACACTCTCGAATCCTTTCCTCATTCGCGTTTACCTGATCGCGGATCCGCGCGCAGGTGTAGCTCATCCGCTCGCTATCTCCTCCCGGAGAGGTTCAGGCGTTTTCAGATAAGAACGGAGGCTGCGCGGAGAGGACGTTCAGATACGATCTCCTCCAGCTCGCGCGAGTTAACGCGCGGTACATGACGCGTACACGAGCGATCGGTGGAATTCCAGGCGATAATGCAACGGATGACGCGATCTGAAGCGCGGCACACGGCGAATTTATGTGCCGCGGTAATGGATGTTACCGTGGATGCCGTTACTGTTGCCAGTTTCATTGCGATGCCTAGTCGGACGGTGGATTAAGCGGAATTTATTCGACTTTAAGTTATTTGTATAGAGATGTAATTGAGCGGGATCGTGGAAGAGAGAGCGAGGTAACGATAACGAGGACGATAACGAAGGACAGAGGAGAAGTCTTTATACTTCTCCCGACGATAAACGATAGTGAATTGACTCGTAGGTGGATAATTGGTTGAAGCGTTTCAATCATGTATAACATGAAACTTCTGAACGTAGCAGAAATTGAATTTGTCTCTTGGACAAATCGTTTCAGGTAGAACCGCTCGATTCACTGTGTGCACTTACACGATCTCCGATTACCAGTTACACGAGTTTGTTCCTTCGCCCGAGCTAATATAATTCCGATTCCCGATCCCGTTCAACGTTTTTACTCGATTCGCATGAGCAGACGGTCCCCGGTCGTATATAAGTTCCGAGCGATTTTTCTGCCGTCGCTGGTAGCCGGGTCCAGGTTTAAGCTACTTCCGGCTGGCGATTTATCATCCGGCGACGGCTGAGAATGTGCCGTGATTTCGAACTTCGGACATCCCGGCGTCTCGATAAATCGGAGTTCGTTGTTCGTTAATTCGCGGTTACTTCGACCGGAAATCGATCCGTTTACTCCCTGACCCAGTAATTCGGCCACGCTGCGTCCTGGCAATTCTCAATTATGATATCTTATCGGCGCTCCGGCTAGGCGAGTGTCGTTCCGCTGGAATGCGATACCGTTAATTGATTCTCATCCCATGGCGGTTGAATGAAATTTTTTACGGCCGCGGGAATACAGCATGAACGCGTTCCCATCGTGCTTATGCTAATTGGAGTGGAGCAGCGGCAGCAGGTGTCGTGCGTGTAGCAGAGAAAAAGAAGCGGACGTTATCAGGAATACGTAATCGGTTATCGCTGGACCCGATGTAAGAGAATCGCGAATGCCGGTATCATCGTTAGTACTTATACTCGAATTAGAAGGCAACTGACTATTGATTATCCTAGATGAAACATTAATTATTTAATCGCCGGAAATTGTTACATTACTTATATTGAAATATAAGAACATTTCTTTTCCGACCTCGAAACAAGAAATGTAATAGGACTTAAATTTTAACGATAGACGCACGGACACGCAATTTTATTCATCGTACCTTCGGACAAATGGATAATCTATTTTATATTACATACCTGAACGAACGGGCAAGCTGAAAGTTGCACGCGGCGAGGGTTAACGCGACCCGAGCAGGTTTCCGCGTCAGCGTGGAACATTTACAATGTGACTAGAGTCGCGCTTAATATGCGTGGGCGTTGGAGCCACGGTGCGTGATTCAAGGCGGGTTCTCACGAGCCACTCGTGCTCTCTCGGGTCCCCGGCGGTGGAGGACGGGACGGCGAGGGGCACAGACGGGGGAACGAAGTGAAAAGTGACGAAGACACGCAGGGAGGCTAAGCGTCGCGTCGCAGGCAACGGTACGCGTATGGTCGTTTAGGAATTCGCGAATACTTTAAACGGGAGTAAAGTGCCAGCGGTGTTCACCGCGATTTCGATGCTCACAAGCTTTCCAAAAGCGAATTTCTTTTTTGATACTGCTCCTATCTATTTATCGTTCCTTATGTTTTTCAAAATTAAGTATGTCAAACTAAAAAAACTTTTCAAGTATGTTAAATTACAATTTTGGAAATTCTTGGATTGGCATATTCACTGTCCAGATTGAGAACGATGAGTGGAGAACTAGTGACTTTATTTAGAAAAACTGCCTCGTACGCCACATAAACTCGTTCTATTTTTACATTCGCGATGAAAATGTCCACGGAATTATAGCAGCGACTAGGTGGCGTCGCCTTAAGTCGAATCGTTGACCCTGATGTAACAGGGTCCGCTGGCGAAGCCAAAACGTCGACAGAGGAAGCGGTGTCGCGATTATACGCGAAGCGCGAACGCTCTGACATGTGTACGACATTTGCACGGTGACGTGAAGGAACGGTGACACGAGGCAACGGGAGGCGGCGTGATTTTTCTCATTCAACTCGCGTATCTGCGGGAACAATTAGGCGTCGTCGAATTCCACGAGCTCGATTCCACCGGTGATGCTCACCGTCGGTTTTGCTGATTATTCGAGCGATCATTGTCGAAATACCGTTGCCCACATTCTTCGCGAAGAAACGATATTCGTTGTCAGCCGATTGGTCTAAATACGTGAATATTCTTTCTTCTTTTCATTTATTCTGTGCACAACGTTGAATTCAGATGCGATTAGACAATGAAAAGTATAAAAGCAGTTTTATGATACTTAATTAAGAAATTCGTTTCCCAGAAATTTTTAAGTAATGAGAGATGTTTAGGCGACCGAAGTCACAGGTTTTATCTATGATCTATACATATAAAATAAATTCAAAACTGTGTTGGTAATTCAGTAGTCAGGGTAAATATGAACGCGTTTATGTTTCGCGGAGGTGCTGTCTTGTCAGATACAAAGCGGCATTTACCTCAGCGTATCGATCATCATCCTGCGAGTCGAGGGCAATAATCAGAGGGCTCATTACGTTCGTATACTTTGCTGCAACAATGGCTACTTGGCATTCGCGTTATGCCGTCGGCACCGACATTGTTCTCCGCGAAACGTTTCACCGAGCACGATGCTTCGTGTACTCGCTTACGTGGGATTTAATCGGAAGGCAATGCATCTTCCCGTTGCGTCTCATCGTTCTTCTCTCGAATCCCCCAACAAATAGGACCAGCGACGAAAGGACAGATTCGAATGATCGGTTCGCAGGCCAAACGGAATGAGAAATCTCGTTGTTAAATGCACTTCTTCATTTTGTTCCCTTTTACAGTTTTTTGTACAGTAGTTTCATCGAGTGAACTTGATTTTGCTTAGTTAGGTTTATCGTCATTTCGATACGTTACATTTCATTTATTACAATTTATAAATAGAGAACATTGTCTTGAATTTCAATCTTATTTTCTGTTTCAGCAAATACTACAAAAATCTTCGGTATCAGTGGAGATCGAAGTGAGACCAAGGCAACTGGTGCCAGATACTAACTGCTTCATCGACTACCTGCCACAACTGCAAAATATCGCGAAAGTCACTTCTGGTATACAACCGATTTACACGCTTATGGTGCCGCTTGTTGGTGAGTTACTACTTACTTTCGTACTAGTTTAATGCACTCAGATTTCCTAATTCCAAACCGTAAATTCTGATTAAACTGCATTCTGGAAACTTTATCGAATTCCAGTTGATTAATACACGTTTGGATGATTCTGTGGGAAACACGTGATAAATATTGAACATATTACAAAATATAGCTCGTATTTCTTTGTGTAAGGCAAAATCGTCGAAGCTTCGAAATATTAAAACGCATTGTAAATCCCTCGGAAAGTATTTCCGTTCTTTCAATTGTGCTAAATATCGAAACTCGTGGGAACCGACTCGCCGGGCCAACGAAAATCCGACGTGATTCTGTACGATCGCTGGGAGTCTCGTCCGTGAACCGGTCTTCGCCGGGTGAATCTTCCTCGTGCGAAGGTCGTTGATTATGCGAATCGACGAAGGTGCGCAACGCCCGAAATAGTGTTTTCGTACGCGTTTACGTCAGATCGAAGGGAGAAAAAGTAAAACGCATGAAATAATCGGTGATAAATAACGAGTAAGAAGAAGGGACCGTGGCTCGCGACTCAGGACTTTTGCATCGCAAAAATAAACGAGGTTCCAATGCGAATCGATCCGGGACACCGACCCCGAACGCGTCGTAAACTCGCCTCCGCGCGGTGCTTCTCACTTTTCTTTTTCGTACATTGCACCTTCGCGGGGTTTCTCGAGTTTCCTAAGGTACAGGATTTCTTTCAGTGAAAGATAAAGTAAAAGTGTCGCGTTGGAGGACATGGCTTTAGAGATAAAGTGAAATTGTACTGGAATACATATGTTCTCAGCTTGTCAGCCAGCTTTAGGTATTTCTGTCTGTATTCGAGATATGAAACGATCAGTTTTTTTTTAAATAACAATCAGAGAGGGTCAAAGACAAACGATTAATTTCCGATGTCGTTAAGAATACAAACTGAACGCAAGATTTTTTCAGATAGTAATTTTTCTTTTTTCAATCGAAATTGTACAAACGTTTCACATCGAGGTTTCATTCCTTTGTCGCTATTAAAACGATCGCCGGAGGGTGATAGTGTCATCGGGGAACATCATCATCGGGTCATGGCATAGGTCACACCGAGATGCGCAAACATGTTACTCACCTTGTGGTGACGATCATCGTCGTCGTCATCAGTGTCTTGGCCACTCGTTCCTTCGTGTTCGTATTGAGATTCACAGAATATTTCCTTTCGCTTCTTTGATTCGCCATAATTTGCTGCTTGATTGGCATACTTGGAACGTATTGCCCACCGTTTCGTTTCGTGGCATAAATTGGATAATTTTTTGCTTATGTTTGTTTGCCATTACTAGATAATCAATTCCTGTTTGACGTTAATCGTTTGTAGTAGCTTATACAGAAGGCAGATGAATTGCCGGCTGCTTGTAGGTGCGTTAAAATAACTATAATTATTATACAGGGAACAATTGAGAAAATAATTAACATTGAAGCAAAGCGACAAGCAGTAATGGAATTGAATGATTTTATTTTAATACATAATACGAAATTGCTGAACGCATCCTGTGCAACATCTCTTATCTCTCTGGAACTAATTACACCTAATTTTTACGGAGAAGTCATAAATCGATCGCGAGTCTCCCATCGAGGGGGAAACGTTGTTCGCGAGACTGCGAACCGAGTCTTCCAAGGTCGCGTGAAATAGAAAGGCCCATCAATCACCGTTACGCTATCGCAAATTAGCGATGATTGGTTCAATAATAATTTAAGCGAATCAATTTCGAGGCATCGCCTAGCGATATTACCGCGGGAGCACGTCGTTCTCAACAATGGTGTTGCGTTAACTTTGATGATTATGCCGATGATCTCGGGAAGGTTCAAGTTCTTCGAGTTGGTTCATTAGTCGAGGTCTAGGTCGGGCTCACAATGAGCAAGGACAATTAAGCGACCTTGAATTTTGCCTGTGAAAGTGAGCACCTCACGATCGTGAGAATTTTCGCTTAAATAACGATTATGACTTAGGTATCTTTCGGACGAAATTGAACAGGCATATGTTTGCCTGGAACAAGCTTATACGGTAGTAGGAAAATGAAACACTGAATTGTGAATGGAATTACAGCTATCTATGTTAACATGAATTTGGCATACGTGATGCAAATTTAAATCGATATAATCCTCGTTGCGCATGCAACAGATTACATCGCGTTGCGCAATATACAATTTCCGTTTAATTCTATTGAGCTTAGTGAATGATCTAACGCGGTATAGACGTGCGTGTGGCTTCGATTTTTGGCTAATGATCCCACGCGGGATTGTTGTCTAGAATCATTAACTAGCCGTTTCGCGGGTTGTTGCAGATTAATGCTAACAGAATGATGGAGTAGTCTAATAATTGTTCATCGAGCATATTGCGTTTGGAAACGATCCAGCGGGCAATTATTATGTCGTTAAGATTGTGGATTCAATAATTTAGCAGCTAATAGGACAACTTGATTTATGTTAAAATTAAACTGTTTAAGAATGACATAACAGCTATTATGTGTGTTTGTAATTGGCAATATTCCCTCGGGCTGTTTGCATATTTGTACAATGTGTCTGCCGCTTTTGATGACTAATTTTGCTCAAGTGTCGCAACGTTAAATTAGTAACATGATTTTGCAACAAGCTTATTTACCAACACTCGCTGCCTAAATATTTTCATCTCTCATCCTAGTCAGATTTGTCTATGGAAAAATAGATATTTCTTGTAGACATACAGTCGTTCTCCGATATTCAATTTTTAAATATTTAACAAGTCCGTTCGGCAATAGTTCATGCATCACGCAACGCTCCACAATTCACCGAAACCGTTCGATTCATACGTTGCCCGACGTTTCTACATTTCTAATCCTGTACGCGACGGCGGAAAAAACGGTCAGTTCCTATCGCGTAAAGCGTAAACGCGCGTACGTGCGGGAATTCCTTTCAGCGCCGGTCGTAAATCCTTCCACCGCACCGTTTACCATATTCTACGGCGGCGTTTCGATGAAATTCGGGTAAAACGAATACGTACGCGCTTCTGCCACGATGAAATTTGCAATCGTGCGTTAAATGATATTCCTCGCGGCCTCCGCCACATGCGGAATAACAGACAGATCGATTTGCAAACCGAATTACTCGTTGCAAGATGCATCTCTGACTCCTCTTAGCTTACCGTTTTCTTTTATAATAATTAAACAATATTTGCATATAAAAAAGAAATTGCCAAATCTTAAAGAAATTCTATAGTGCGTTTTTAATTTTTATAAATTTACGAGATGAACAGTAAGCAATGTTTCTTATTAATATTAATAATCAATAGTCGAGTAATGAGCCATTTTCTACAAATCTTTTCATATTTTTCCGACCAACTTTTTTGTGCATTCGGTTTGTTGGAATTTTTTTCCGTTGATTCGTAGAGCAACGTCGGCTGAAGTTTATCTTCGACCATCGGTTTTCCCGGTGATCGTTGAATGGGAAACGAGTAAACAGAGGAAAAGTGTAAATATGAGAACGTGAGGGTGGAAGGAAAACGTCCTGACGGGTTTATTTGCACAGGCGTATTGCTTTGAATACGAAAGCGACGGGATTCTTTTTTTCCACTCCGAAAAGAATTCTTCTGAACGCTATGTTATTTCGTGTTTCCTATTGTGAATTTTAATTATAACCTTCGGAGCGTTGCGCGTTTCGCGGGAAATATTCGGAGAATATGTTGGTCTCCCTGTGTACTTCATTCTGCGTTGCAAATGGTTCCATTTCTGGAGTCAAGTACCTAAGAATTTTGGGACATTTCATTAAGGTTAAGCCAGCCTCTGTAAATTCTTGAAAATTGTCTATCTTAACTGAACTTACACGCTATTTCCCTTTAAATGTACTGCAATATCGTATAATACTCCCATTCGGTTATACTGTCGCTTACTCCGAAAGTTCTCGCCGTGTCGTAGACATTCCCGAAATTCTCTCGTTCCCAATATCACTCGCATACTTGTTATTCTCAGTCTTCCTCATAAAAATTTGGGATTAGACCACAGCAATTTAATTGTGTTTTTCTAAATTGAGATTAAGGATATTATTATAAATGGACAGAAGACAATTGCAATTTCTTTTACTCTTCATTAATAATAATAGACATTATTCTTTCGATATGCTGCATATTACATGCGTTCTTCCTATACAATCTTTCTATAAATACATAAAGTCTGCAATTCATTTATAAACAGTTGTCTTACGATAAAGAGTAACAACGAAAGAATTGTACAAATATTTGCGAACGACGGGAAAACGCATCAGCCGTTGAGGCGTTCGCCAGGCGAAAGTAATTTCCCGTTTCGTTGCATTGGTAATCTCTCCGCCCGGAGATCGTCGCGGATCCGATACGAATTCTGCGCCCCTATCCCGCCAAGGGGTTATCTGGCGGGTGGGTAGAACTAATGCATACCAAATGTCGTTGAATCTCCAATTGAAAGTGCTTCGAATGGGTGGCGCTATGTTTGCCGTTGCGTTCGAGGCTGTATCTCAGTATTCCTGGCCCTCGTGCGTACGCCGGTCGATCATCGGATTTCAAGGGGTTTTGCCTGGCTCTGAACGAGGCACGTTAACGGGGGTGGAGAAGACCAGGGAGAGAGAAACGCGCGTAGACAGCGGGTCCGAGGGCAGAAAAACACGTCTGCCTTTAGATCTTTCGAAACTTTTTGGCGGCCCAGCGGTAACAATTTATTCGACCGAGTTGGAGGGTGACCATCCCCTTCTTTCTCCGTCTCTCTCTTTATCGTACCCGTTGGATACGTGCCTCCTTTTTATGAAACTTTGCTTTCTTCCCTCGTTTCACCCGACTCTGACAGTGGGTTAATTTATCTGGGTTTATAGAAGGGAAAAGTTTCTTCGATTATCGTCTGGCGGCGAGCTCGCGGATTTCATTCAAACCAGGAGCGGTTAAAACTTGGTAAGACGATTACGATCTTTTTCTTCTTGACGATATTTCGTCGAGGAAAAGGAATTAATTAAGCCAGAAAGGCGTCGAGGTCGTGTAAAGAATGCTTGCAATAATTTCAGATAACATTTTTTTTAAACCTTCATTCTTTCACACTCGTAGTTCCTTTTATCGTCGAACGATGAATCGTGCGTGATACCGATACCGAAAAACGAAAGTGCACGTTCATGCAAAATCGGCTGGTGCTGCTCTTTGACCCCGTCTGGCTCCGGCAACGGGCTGCGGTTCACAGTTAGGTTTCTCACGGTTCATACATGAATGCATGTGCGTATACACGGACTGGAAATGGTCCGTTGTGTCTCGTGTCCAGCCATGATCTTGTATACACTCCCTCTCACAAGTACAAAAACGGTTAATGAAAAATATAGAACAGGATGCGATAAAAGTAGTCCTAAATCAACTCGCGGTCGACGCGAGTATTAAAAAATAAATTAATAGCAGATTCGGTCTCATTCGTTAGTGAAATATAGTTTGATAAGGCGACTTATATTTTCAGCGTGGGTTGCATCAAGATTTGTTGCAACACTATTTCTAATACTAAGAATCGATCAAAATTTAATTAAACTTCATAATAGGTTACACGATTTGTATTACATTTTTATCTAAGAATGAGAAAACGTGTTACAATAATCTTGTTTCTTATCTTCGAACGTCGAAATCTAATTTTTACTGATACAAGTTGTGACGAGAGGCTCAAGGGAATATCGAATTTAGTTAAACCGTCGTTTTTCCTTATTGAATATGTTTTTGGTATTTTATGGTACGAGACTTGAGCTAGTACTTATGAGTGGGATTGTATGTACGTGGGCGACGTTGACGGTAGTCGCCAACCGAGGTGCACTGCCTTTTGCGAGCCTCGGTTTGACTGCCGCTCTTGCTTCACTCCTTTGAATGAAGCTCGCCACCAGCGCAGAGTCAATCGACACCACCCAGGGATTCGCGGTTTACAGCCTTACAGCAAGTTAATCAGCCAACATCCCAGTCCCGTCGCGACGTCAAGCCTGATTGACAGATTGTTTAGTTAACGCACATCATCGGATGCGTCGTGTCAGACGTTGCTAGGCGAAGATTTATTGGGTATCAATAGAGATAATGGCGTTAGTTTAATTCACGAGATTACACTTACAATGATTTATTAATTATCAAATTGAACGTGATTCGAAACAGACTTTATCGTGATATCTTGTAGAATATTTATAATTATTTCATCTTTTTCATCTTCATACATGTATTATCCACATTTACCGTTAGCGAAGATCTCGCTTCGTTAAAGAGACGAAACGTAACATGTACTGTTAACCAATGTAAAATTGAAGTGCTCGTTTCTTTGGAACGAACGCGTATGTAGAATAGGGCATGTTAAACGGACGAGACTGAGATCGGTTGCATTATGACGGAGTTCGTAATAAAATTCACGTGGTTGAATAGGAATTGTTTTATTTAAAATCCGACTGCGGCGTACATCGCATGCATGCAGAAGCGCGAGGAATTCTGTCACGTATTTCCCCGTCGACAGTCCAATTATCGCACACGTCAGAGACACTCGAAAATTGTGCCTCGGTTTATGCGCTCCGCTTGCTGATTATTATTATTATTATTATTATTATTATTATTATTATTATTATTATTATTATTACTATTAAACGCAATTTGTTGAAAGCAGTCATGGCAGCGTAAAATTATGCCATTACAAGATCCAAAGAAAAAGAGTAACTAGAACTGGTTTCAATAATTATTTCTAGTCAACATGAAAGAGTTGTTTAATTGTATTGTATCGCGTTGAATTATTCTTCCAAAATTGCTCGTAAGTGAGATTGTTAAATATAATTGCTTTTAAAATTAACAGCATTGCAGTAGTTATCAATTTGAATAAAAATGTATATTATATTTATCGTACGTAGAGGTTTGAATCGATGCGCCGAAAACATCGTTGTGAAAATAACTCAGGAACGTTTTACTCGCAGCCCAGAAATGGCTCGTTCATTACTTATTGACTGCCCGTTTCCTGCCCCATAGTCTCGCGGGATGAGTTTCTTCTCCCCCGTTTTGATCGGTACTATTGTGTGCTCGCCAGATTATCAATAATTCGTACCAACCGGGCCGATCCGTTCTTTCTACGACATATTCTCTATTTCCGGAGGTATGATCGGTAAATCCTCTCAGGATTTATAGAACCTTCACGTCATCCATTCTGTGCTAAAGTTGGACTCGAATAAAACCTGAGGACACGAACTCTACTCCTCGGTGGAGAAACGTAGAAGTTAATGTGGGCTAACTTCGTACGAAATTGATTGCTGTGGAACTAAAAGTGATAAACTTTCCAGCACCGAGCATTTCCTATTATTGAACTTTATTCTGGTGTTTATCACTTTATTGGACTTTATTCTAGTTTTATTGACTGTCAGTAATTGTTAGATTAAATACAAACGTACAAGGCGAAGATTGAAAGAGTAACTTTACGCGATTTTATAAAACAATGCTTCTATTCTATATTTTGTTATAAATAGAAGTTGTTAATGATGAAGGAACAATTCCATTTGAGAGCAATTAACATAATTGGGAATTGATTGAAATCTTTACAAACAGTCTGGAAATAAATCGCCAGTTCTTAGATAAACTTCTACCATTCAGCTCCCTGTCTCTGCCACATGACTCGGCACGAAGTTCGTTAGGGGTGCGTTTTCACGCAGCAGGGGTTTGACGAGGGGTAAAGTCCAAGTAAACACTATCAAAGCTGATTCGTTGAAATTCCGCATCAGGGCTTATTTTCCTTGGGAAAACGACGTCGATGAAAAAACTTTTCCATCCTCCCTTGTGAATTAAATCAAACAAGATCCTCCGATATTATTACTAGACTACAATAAAGCAAATGGAAATCATTTGTTGGGAGAATTTTGTAATAACATTAAACAACAATTGGGCTGATATTTTTAATAATCAAATTATTGATTTTTTTGTTGCAGTTTTGAATGAACTCGAGGGATTGACAAGGGGCGCGGATGCCAGAGACTGTCCTCCAGCCTCGAGGGCAACTCTGGATCCGGAGCACGTTGCCAGGGTAGCTGAGAGCGCAAAAGCTGCCTTGGCTTTCGCGAGAAGCAGAAATCCGGCGATTCGATGCTTAACCACCAGAGGAACCGTTCTTACGTCCAGCACGTTCACGGTAGAAGAAGACGTTGATAAGGTGAGTACATAATTTATTTGCAAAATAATATGCTACAACCGTCAATTATTTAATTAATAATAATTACCTCATTTTCGAAATATTAAAACATGCGAAACAATAAACCATGCAATGCTCACAAGAAATTAGACACGTTTTATTTAAAGTAGATTTATGTAGCCTACCGTCTCTGTCAAATAGTTCTGAAAGTAACCGGAAGCAAATAAATTTACTAGTGAATGCATACTGGATATCGCTGATTGAATTTATGCCTATAAAACGCCAACGCGGTCATAAGTAGGAATTGGCCGGTGGTCATTGAGTCGGGAACGTAATGTTATGATAAGGGTGTGAGCATGGGAGGACCCCCACGTGGCGAGCAGATAAACTCTTCTCGCGATATGGTAACTTCTGTATGCAATGTACGCATCTCGGTCCACGCTACTTATCCCGCAAGTAACACGCGGAATACACGGGTAGGATTGGATCGTAACAGGAACCTTGATCTGTCAAACGATAGATAACGACCGTTACGGAGCTCGTTTCATTTTATTCCACAACCATTACCAGATTGTGTGCTCCGCCGTCTTCCTCTTCCTCGTCGACTTTTCGTTCCTTTTCGCTCCTTCTGGATTCCTGTAAATCGGTTCTCTCGGACATTGTAATACACTGGGAAGTCTGATATATTTATTGAATTTTTCCTAAAATGTAGCAAGCTCTTTTAACATTAAGTTAGCAAAGTTAATGAAAACGCAATGAGTTCAAAATTGTATTGGAGGACTGTAATAATTAAAATTTTCGCGACGTCATGACGCGCGTCGTTTAATAAAAATAATAACCGAGACATCTGCAATTCTGTTACAGGATGGGTTGACAAGAAACGATGACAGAATACTGGCTACGTGCTTGAGCCTCTGCAAGACGGGTAACAAAGATCAAGTAAATGCAGGTACGTACTAACACACGAATTCGTATACGTAGTTATGTATCTTGTATGTTCCTCGCGAAGGGTAACCCGAACACGTTTCAAGCCTTTTCCGACGCTTTGATGGTGATTAATACCGCCTCTTGCCCGATTGTAATGCTCGTTTCGGACCGCGAGATTATCCGTTATCCGCGTTGACAGTGCACTACGGCAGCCGGTGTCGGCGATCGACGGTGTTCGTTACCATTTATACTCGCCCTTATCATGCCAGAATTTATTACTCGAGTCGGGGCACGCCGCTAATTATTCGGCTTCTTCCTGATCGCGAGAACGACGACAAGATCGATTTCATTAAGGATCGGCGCGCTAATTGAAACCGTGTTCCCCGTTGAATTATGCCCCCGAGATACATACACGGTTTTGCTTTACTCTTTCGCGGCGCGGCTCGTGATAATATAACGCGAGGAAATTAACCGCCTTCTTATAACGCGGTACATCATCCCTTATAAGCGTCGAAAGAATTTCAATCCACGTTACAAATTCTCTTAATTCACAGTTTAATATATTTTTTACAAATGTACGTACAACTTGTTCGTAATGCATAATTGGATTCTAACGCTCTAAAAATCAATTAATCGTCGGTGATAAAAAACGGAGTTCATCGCACGAGGCATGGAAGAGCTTTGTAAAATGTCCGATGAAGAGTTCTCTCGTAATTGAAAAAGCACAACCTCTGCGATGCAGAACGGAGGAATTAAATCGCGAAATTTTCCTGTCGCCAGAGGAGGGTCAACCGCGACGACTGCGAAGGGAAGTCGTTCTGCTGACAGAGGACAGAAACCTGAGGGTGAAGGCTCTGGCCCGGGACGTACCTGTAAGGGAGGTGCCCGACTTCATGCAATGGGCCGGCCTCGGCTGAGACGGTGTCGCGATCGAACACACCCGCTAACGAAAAATCTCCCGTTACTACCCCCGCCGAGTATAATAACTTTCGACCAGCAGCAACCATCACCAAACAGAGTTAGCAGCGAGGATGCGAATAGGAAAGAGAAAACGTTGGAAGAGAATACGTAAATGCGGAATGAAGAAACGAACGATCGTGATCCCTCTTCGTTGTGGCTGCTCACGCCGCGTGCGACACGGATTCTTCCCATTCACACACGTAAGTTCGTCCTGATTGACGTGATTGTGCCTGTTCCGCGGTGATGTATTCTCTTTTTGGCGAGGATGTTGCGAAGAAAGAAAGAAAGAGAGAGAGATAGAGAGAATGGACGCGTCGCTGGGTCGCTGTGATTTCCATTAAAACGACGGAGTACGATTGAGACTTGACTATCGATCGGATATGACGGAGAGTAACGAAAAACGTTTGTTTCGGATAGCAAGAGGATATAAAGGATTGAGAAAGAAAGGAGGAAACATTGATTAGGGGTAAATGTGAATTGGATCAACGGGCATGATCGCGGCGCTTTCCATTCTTATTCTGATATTACTCTTCTCCTTTTTTTCGTAAATAATCAAGGTCGTTTATAACGATAAAAAGTTTATAACTTAACATCAATCATGATGAAAGATTCTGAAGGAAGAACAAAAATATTCTCAAATGAAAGCTTTTATTCTGTATATGATATACATTATAAATGGCTTAATAATCTTTTTTTAATCATTAGTAATCGTATCAAGGATTACTTTAACTAGAGAATCAATAAAACGATATGCTAAAGCGTCGCGTGATCGGGTCGGGGTAAATTGACTAAATCACGGAGATGAAGTTGACAGGTACTCGCTGGAAAGGACGAGAGAGAAAAAATAAACAAGAATCGAGAGATGAGAAGAGTCGGTATTTTTACACACGTGAACATTAGTAACATAATATTTTGGTTGATTTTTATGGATGACGGCCGCCCTGCGGCCGGCTTCGGTTTTACTGTACCTTCCTTTTATCATGTTTGTAAGGATCTATACACAGGCATATTCGTATATAGAGATATACATGTATACATACATATATCTACATGTATATATATTTGTACGCACTTTTGAATATTGTATACGCCGTATGCGGTCGTTGGAGGATGCGTTCGGAATCCGCGGACATCTCCCCTCTCATCGTGCGTGTGTCGTTTGCCTTTCCGTTTTTTCCCCTCTTTTTTCCCTTTCCTACCGTTCCGTTCTTTTTGCCATCGTAGCCGAGTGATTCCCGAATTAATTTTCTCTCTTTCCCGTCTTCAACTGCCCTCCGTTTTCTTTTCATTTCGCTGCTGACGTAACGAAAGTCAGCCCCTCGAACGCGGTGCGTTCGTAACTCGTTTTCTTTTTTAGAAGCAATTTTCGCTGTTTTACTTCTTTTTAGCGATTGCTCGCTATTTCGATACTTTTATTTTTACTATTGCTATTTGCTTGGTACATTTTTATCTCGTAACGGCTTCACGGATCGGTATAGAGAATTTCGTTTGCATTTTGATTCAATGAAAATTTTGTAGGTTCATTAAGTGAATGAAGTGAATGTGTTCAGAAGCGTGAACTTTTGATATAACAAAATTTGTGATAGAGTTTGTAGCGATAAGATCGAAGTTCATCGAGGTAGTTTTTAATTTTCGTATTATCGTTTTCTAGTTAATAATTTTACTGACGACTCACTAATCATCAGTTTGTCAGTTATTAATATTAGTTTAGCATTGATAGTCATTCCAATTCAAAGATTAATCTTAATTTTCTGTCAAGTCGGAAGGATTCTCAAAACATTTTCATCCTAAAAAATCCATTCTTGAAAATAATATTGTACCTCCGATCCGCACGGTGTTACGAGAAGATTTTAAGTTTTGTACAGCGATCGTAATATACGCCTCCACGTAGACGTAATAAAATGAGAAAGCAAACGATTTTTATAGCATTGAAAGAAAATGGCGATCGTTTTTAATCCGGGCACGTTTGCATTTCCAGTAACGCGAAGCTTTCGAGAGCCAAAATGTCCCCCCAGTACACGAGGTCCTCGTTGTTTTCCAGCGATTGCGCGCGTGTCCTTCTCGAGCATGTTGCGAACTTTTCGAATTGTTTTATTCGATCACACATACACAAACACACACACATACAAAGACATATGTACACTTAAATAAACGATCAAACTTGCACACGTTTAAAGATATAGAGAAATTTAATATGCCAGTCGTTTAACCCATTCAACCGAAAGTACGTTTTTATATATTGAAATGTTGTTTCAATCAAATTATTTTATTCAGCAGTTTTTTTTTACTCCATTTTGTTGCGTTAAAGAAGTTTCTCGTTAATCAATCATTATTTTAATTATAAGGTGATATACATTTTATACAATTCATGGAATTTTGAGAACGTGTTTGAAATCATTTTATTTATCTATTATCAAAATTGGTATAGATTCGATATCGTTTTATTGATATAAAAAATCATGTTGTAATTTAGCACAGTTTTATAATTGGAAATGATCGAGGTTATTTATCCGACAAAAGTAGCATCCTTCTGTTGATTGAAATCAGATTCATCGTTCGAATATTTTATTCGAATCGAATACTCAGATTTTTCTGGAATACATAATATTCTTAAATTATGTATAATTTTGCAAAAATTAGATTTTTATTGAGACATCCTCTGTGCAAAGATTGAAATATTAAGAATCTTCTTCACTAGAAATAATTATATATTACACTGTTTTGCACTAAGAAATTTTCAATATGCACACACGTACACACACGTACACATAGCGTTTGAATAAAAATGGCATTTATATTATCCGACACAAGTACATGAAGGAATTTTCATGGGCAGTATTACGTTACGGAGGTTCGGATAATGAACTGCGCGTTAAACAATTGACAATTCTTTAAGATAATAAACTTAATATCGAGTCGTAAACGATTGAACGTCATGAATTACGCATTAGTCACGATTCGATTTACGAATGACGATTCTTCCGGATTATAAAATTCTTATCGCGGTTGTAAATGATGGAGATGAGAACGGATCGATCGTAACGTTGCATTGTGATTCACGGATGAATAAATATGATTGATCGAACATAAAAAGCTATTTAAATGTGTGTGTTAAAAAAAAAGTCGGTACGCATCATACAAAGAAGCTGGACTTTCTTTTTGCCTGAAGATGAATTTATACATTCAGTTTGATTAAAGAACATGCATGTATAATTCGTTTTCTTAGGTTCCTGGGTTAATTCGATAAAATTTAAAGCAACGTGTAGAGTATCGAATTTTCCACTTTTGATACGTAATTTGCCTTGAATTTTATTGATTAAAACGTATCGTCGAATAAAATTGAACAAGCTCGCCGTAGATCGACGTACCTCCGTTCCAGGATATTATACTAATTACGATGACAAAAATTGATCTGTTATTGCACGTAGCCGTTGATTTCGCGCGATCTTGGCGCGACGCAGTTGATCGTGTTTGCCCGATTGCATATCAATGATTAATGGATTACGGGAGATTATGCTTACAGAACAAACGAACTTGCTGTATACATAAAATAATAGTTAATTAAATGGAATCATGACTTTTAGGGGGAGACAGATCCGCGAACTTATTTTCGCTGGGTCGCTGACACGCGCTTCAATACTAAAGTATACGCTCTATTTATTTTTCTAGAACACACACGTCATTCGAATGTATCCAACATTATGATAAATATATAGATGTATATGTATCGACAAAGTAGAATGCGAAATGGTTTATCGATTCGATTCGAACGTGTCGTCTGTTCGATGCGATTAGGATTGCGAACATTCCGAATAAAAAAAAAAGCGATAAAAGAACCATCACGCATGGTTGCGTCACACGCGGGAAACGATTGATTCGAAGTTTTGTCCGGACATTTTTTTAAGTTAGACGCCCATTGATTCGCACCGTAGTAGGCGAAAGTCTCGAGTGTGTGATTTTTTTTTTAAATTAGAGGCGATGGTCAATCTCTTTGATTCTTCTTTGAATATACACAGAACCCTCTTCAATGATTAATTAGAATTGATTGATCAGAATCGGAATACTTTTAAGCTTATACAATATTCATATCGTCTGTTCTTAAAATAGGATATTAGATAATTTGTTGTTAAGATTTCAAGATTCTTGTGTTTTTAGCCAATCATTTATTAGAAATTTCAAAGATTATCTGTCGCACCGTACGTTCTTATCCTCGCGAAACAGGACAACGATGACCGAGGGTTCGCGAGATGAGGAGATAATCGCGACGTTTATAAAAGAAACATTTTTGCTACCAGAGTTAACGCGAATGAAAGACAGAGGGGAACTGTAAGCGAGAGAGTGAGAGACGTATGAGAACGCGACGTGTCCTATTTTTCAACAAAAAAAAAAGAACAATACCTTATAGTTACTTAACAATCTTTAGTGATTAATAATTGATTGTGCTAAATATGAGCATGCGAGAGGGAACGAATGAGAGGAAGGAATCGATCAAGAGAAGCGTGGCGAATACGCGTGCGTGATTAACTTTGATTCTTCTTGATCACGTTTCTTCAACTTCTTTTTTTTTTTAATTAGTCGTACACAACATTGCTATTAACGTTAATTTTTCTTTCTTTTTTTATCACGTAGAATTGTATTCATTAAACGTGTAGACACGATTATAGTTCGGTGCTACACCGTGTTCGAACCTCCTTTTAGTAACTATAGTTTCCTGTATTTAAATAGAAATGGAGAAAAAAATAGTTTATATAAATGCTCGACGAAAGACTTTGGCGATACGCCGAAATTCCAACTTTTTTTTGCGTTTTTTCCTCCTTTGCGTTATCATTTCGTCCGGTTTGTCGTATTAATAATTGACACTTTAATGGTCGGAAACGTAAACCCATCCGGTTCCAGCCAATATTTCCTAATAAAATACAATACATTAATCTTTATAGCTGATTTATCGTCGACTCATGTCTTTTTCTTGTTATAAAAAGAAATAATTTCTATGAAACAGTTATTCTTAATATCTTGATTATTCGCGACGAAAATATCCGATTGGTAAAGTGTCAATTAACGTATTATTCCGATTATTTATCAGGAGAAAAATGCGAAAATAGAACAAACCTTCGATAAAAAAAATTGATGTATTAAATCCAGCGGGAAGTGAGTGTTGACAGTCGATTATTAAAAGAACTGGAACACAATGCCGAGAAAA